AACATCAACAACCGCCTCCAATCTCTCTCTTGCGCCACCATCACTCCTCTTCCAGCCATTGTCGACTTCACTCTTCCGGCGACTTTTACTTCTATTGCTCTCTCGAAGGCCTTCTTATTGTTCTTCTTCTTCTTCGAATTGGCATTCGAAGGAGCGAGAAAGACGAAGGTGTCCTTGTCGTCGATGTTGCTCCCATAGAGAAGATTGCGAAACTTTCACCGCTTTGATGATCCTGTCGAGCTGCTCTTCTTACATCTCTCTGGCGACTTCGCTACCTCAGACGTATCAAATTTTGGTTTCCAGATACAGTAGGTTCCTGCTAGAACTCCATTGAGCTCGTCGGCTTCGGAAGAGGACCATGACGGAGGATCGTGGTCCTTGAGAATTCGAATCGGTGGCGGAGTGGGAGGCTTATAAGAATTCACTTCACCTTTACAATTTTCAACATCAGAAAACAACAAATCTCTACTGAAAATAGGGAAAACAGGCCTGACCTAGCCGTTGTAGAAGATCTCATCGACAAAGGTGGGGTCTTCACACACACAAGGGAACTCAAAATCATCATCATCATCATCTTCATAGCTCTTCGTTTCTCCTTCTTCTTGGACCCCTAGTTGTTCCTCGATCAGGATTTCATAAACACAGTAGTCTTCCTCCAATCCAGAAATTTGATCTTGCAACCTCTTTTTTTTGCTAGCATCTGATCAGTCTCGTGTTTTTTACTTCTTAGTTCCTCTTCCAAATCACTATTCTGGTTCCGTAGAGAGTCCACCTCCCGTTCTAGGTCCTTCACCTGTACCATAAGACCCTTTTTTTCTTCGAGCATCTTCCGTTGATCAGCAATATTTTTTTCTGACTCCTCTTCCAGTGTTCCTATCCGAACAAAGTATTCTGACATTTCTAGAATTTTTTTCTCCAGTTGAGATTCAAATTCAATTTTCTAGCTATTTAGGTTTCCTAGCTCCTGTTGCTTTTCATTGACCTTGTCTAACAGGTCCTTGACTTGACCCGATGCTTCATTGCTATCACGTACCAATTGTTCTTCCAATTTGGTTTTTTGGGTCTGTAAGGTTTCCACTTCCAATTGCAGATTGTTAATCCATGTTGTCATATCCTCAATTTAAGACAACAAATCTTTCTTCTTCTCCTCAAGTTTCTTCAAAAGACTGGAAAGCTTATCAGCTTTCTATTTTCAATCTCTTCTTTCTGGGTACGCAGATTGTTAACTTGCGTCGTTAAGGCCATAATTTGAGCGGACCCTTAATTCCCGACATCCTCAACTTGCTTTTGGAGAGTAAATGACTCCTCCGCTTGCTTAACTAATGTTTTCTCCACCGACTTAAACTCCAGAGAAATCTCGTCGCTGCTACCACTCTCCGGCACTTCTAAAATGGTCGAAAGCGGGCCCGACCTGTCGAAAATAGCAAGAAATGGGTTTTACGATCTTGCTTTCGCTTGTTTGGGGCTAAAAATGGGTCGAAGAAGTTTGTGAAACGACCGAGAAAATTTTGAGGATTTTTTGGAGATGGGTTGTGGTGATTGTTACGGTGGCAGAAGTGGTGGCGGGTGGTGGTGATCGGATAAGCGATGCATAGAGAGGGTTCTAAAAGAAATGGTGAAGTGAAGTTGGCGTTCAAAGGATTTAAGCTCAAAAGAGTCGTATAGTGAGCTTCCACAATCCATTATTTGTTTGTTTATTGGGAAAAAAAGAGAGAGATGTAGAGATGGTTACACAACTTTAGAGAAGGAGAGAGGAAAAGTTTATTTACTTTTATCCTGAAAGGTAGGTTCATTTTTTCCATATTCTTTGCTTTTATCTTGAAAGGTAGGTTCATTTTTTCCATATAAAGTTGGGGTATCAATGTGGAAAGTTTTAACATTTCCATTTCAACTTCATTTCCTTCACTAGTAACTCTGTGTGTGTGTGTGTTTGTGTGTGTGAAAGTGTGAGTGTATGTGGAAACTTTCCATATTCTTGGCTTTTATCCTAAAAGGTAGGTTCATTTTTTCCATATAAAGTTGGGGTATCAATGTGGAAAGTTTTGACATTTCCATTTCAACTTCATTTCCTTCACTAGTAACTCTATCTCTCTCTCTCTCTCTAAGTTAGGGTATTAATGTGGAAAGTTTTGACATTTCCATTTCAACTTCATTTCCTTCACTAGTAACTCTCTCTCTCTCTCTCTCTCTCTCTCTCTCTCTCTTTAAGAGTGTGCGTGTATGTGTGTGTGTGTCTTCAACACTTCTTAAGCTACAAGTTCTCTATTGCAGTAGGGGAAATAGATAGTCAGCCTTGAAATAATACCTCCTCATTAAGTAGTCTTATTTGCTTTCCTCCATTTATACAAGTTGTGGAACAAGTTGTGGAAGTCATGATAGAATTCAAACCTTGCTTCGAACAACATTTGCTTGTATGGATCTTGGAGGTTCTTCTTCCTCTTCTGAAATGTCGACGTGTGGTAAAGCAGTCCATGCTCCTGCTGTTACTGGCTAGGATACTTGGCCAGAACCATCCTATCCCCAAACAATGGAGTGAATTTACCACAGATTTGTGAAGTTTGATGATCCGACCTTGGTTCATCCATCTCATCAAAGCTCGGTGGTATATCCTTACGTACCATTCGACCGAATTCGTTGTTTGGAAGACAATCTTCTTTCGGCGTGGTACACTTTGATCCTTCCGAGCAAAATAATACGGAAGGTCCCGAATTCAACTGAGGGTTTGGGATTTAGTCCATCATGTTCGACCAAAAAGGCAAAGCTCTCCTCATCTGACTGGCGTAATTTTGTAAATGAACCACATTATTCTCTATTTTTTAGTTTGGACCCTACGGTACGTGCTTTGCCTTCGAATTCAAACTGGATCGAGGAATTAAAACTCACACTTTTTGAAAGACAACACTTTCTCGCCTACCGAGCCCCTATTTCCCCTTTGGATTACCAATGGTATAAGGCCCAAACCGTTATTGTAACCTTTTTCCATTTATGCTTCGAAGTTCTTCATAATGACATTCCCTTGAAGAATCTTCAATGGGCTTGTGATATTGTTTCGGGATGCCATGTTCTTAATCCAATTATCAGGCAGAACTTTACACCTTTCTGGATCAGCTCCCACTTTTGCTTCACTGGCATAAGAATAATATGACCACCTGTCAAGCTTTGGATGAGATTTATGCTACTTACATCCATACTCAGTATGAATCAGAGAATCTTCTTGAAAACTATGCAGATTTCAAGAATAAAGACTCGACCTATTGGGACTATGCAGATATGGATGAAGTGGAGATGGCCCTGAAACAAACAGAGTTTGAAATGAGGCCGAACAACTCTTTTTCTGAATAAGGGCCCAACAGCTGGAAAAGCCTCAATTGGATAGGATAGAGGATAGATCGGAGAAGGAATATGTATTCATTGAATATTGTTGGAATAAGTTTCGCGATCTTGTAATTTTGTCGATTCCTTACTTTTACGAAATTGAGAATGTAATTGTAATGACCCCGACCTCCGATTAATGCTAATTCATGATTAATTATGCTTAACAGTAATTTAGGAAGGATTTGGAATTAATATGCATGTGTATTGCATTATTTACGTGTTTCTATCTGTTTGCCATAAAATGATCTGTTCATGTTTTTGACTTTAAACTGCGAATTGAAAGCCTTATTGGCGTCTGAATCAAAAACTGACTTGATTTATGTGCTAGTGAGGATTTATAGAATTTTATGGTAGGTTTAATTAAAATTCGATTCGGAGCGATTAAATTAGATTAAATAATGCTAGATGAAACATAGATTTAGTGAATGCTCGTAATTACATTTTTGCCCCTTAGTGGGCCACTTTGTTCAATCTTGATTAGGAGCTTTTGATTCATTTCCTCGGCCATTTTGGGACCAAGAAAATACGCAGGAGAGTGAGAGAGGAGAAAATTGAGTTCAACAAAGTATTGGCTTAGGAACTAGAAGGATGGAAGGTTAATTGTGCAAATTGAGCTTGTATCATGCTTGTCTGTTCATATCTTAGCATTTTGAAGTGTTTTCATGGAAATCCTTGCATGCAAGACCATATTCTAGTTATAGCCCATGAGTTCATCATGATTTTGGAGTTCAATCTTACATTTGATCATGTTTTAGAGCATTGGATTTAAAATGAACACTTGCATGTAAGCTCTTGTTTTGTTCTTGAAGTTTTCCTTGAAATTGTGTTCAATTGACTACCTTTGGGCTTTGATTTTTCAAAATTGATCTTCAAAACATGTCATACTATGAGTTTACAAGAGTTTTTCAGAAAATTAGCCCAAAAGGATCGAATTTGATGCATTGTAGTTGAGTTTTGAGCTTGAGGTTCAAATGAGGGCCAAATTAGACTTAGTTCATTAGATAATGTCCACAAGCGTAATATGAAATTGTAGTTTGGCCATTACTATTGCTAGCACATTCTTGATCGATAGGATGGGACACTTGGAAGATGATTTTTGAATTGTTATAGCTCAACTTCTATTCTTTTTAGGAGTTTCTTTTAATAATATTACTACTTTTTATGTTTATATATAGAAGATAACTTTGAAAAATCAACTTCATTTTGCCCGCTAGGTGTTCCAAAAAATTCTCACGAGAGTTGATTTACATCGTGTGGTGACAGTGGTCTTGATTGCCTTGAACTTTGCCAAAGAGATGGCTTTACACACCAACAGATCCATGTACTGGCCCTAATTGGTTGGGATTAAGGCTTATTAGCTCATGTTGAATACCAGTTTCTAGCATCTTTGATGTTAAATTAGGTGTAATAATCTATTAGATTTAGGTTTTTTTCACCCCTCAAATAACACTTGTGTTTTTATTTTTCACCCCTTAAATAACTGAAACTGGATTTTATCTCATTTTATGTGTTTTTATTTTTCTCAATCTCAACATGGTATATATTTACATCCCAACAATAGTGGCATCATTTTTGCTCACGCATTTTTAAGAAACTGTAGTAGTGATTTTATTTATTTATTTATTTTTGTTTTAGCAATCTCAATGGATATTTTGATCCAGGAGTCTTGAAGCAAATCAATTTTCTGGCAGTGTTCCTCCTGAACTCGGGAAACTAAGTAACTTGAAAACTTTGTAAGACATGTCATTCCTTGTTTACTTACACTTACTCCTTGAATCAAATTTGACAAGGATGAAAGAATATCCAACGCATTTGTTTGGCTACATGTTGTTGCAACTTCAGGGTATTGTCCTCGAATTGATTGAGTGGAAATCTGCCACCTTCATTTGATGGGCTAATAAATTTGACTGATTTGTAAGCTACTACAATATCTTATATGATTTCCTATATTATTTCAATGATGGTGTCAGTTCAGCACCAGTTTCTTGCACAATGCAGTAGGATAAATGATAACAACTTCAGCGGAGCAATACCTGATTTCATACAGAACTGGAAACAACTTGCGAGATTGTAAGATTCTGATCTTCCGAAAAATGCCTTTTCAGATCGGCTAAAAGCAGTGATGGTTTTTCCGTTATTTGTATATAACCATTCAATTCTAATTTGTGTCGATGAAGAAAAATGCATGGAAGTGGATTGGAGGGACCCATTCCATCAAACATATCCCTTTTGAATCAATTAACTGAATTGTGAGTACAAAACATTCTTATAGCAACAAAGTAGTTTTAGGATGTAATGTTATTTTGTTGATTTATTTGATTGATAGCGTACTGTTGATGGAATTGCTCATGGTGTGATCTCTTTGACCAGGAGAATCAGTGACATAAATGGGATGGCTCCGGAATTTCCTACCTTGAGCAACACTACAGGGCTAGTAAGATTGTATGTTTGATGATTATATAATTTATAATGTTCAATATTTATAGTGTGTATAGGTGAGTTTCATCCTGAGTTTAATTTTATTCATTTTTTTCGTATTTAGGGTTTTGAGAAACTGCAACATTTCTGGTGAAATCCCGAAATATATTTGGAAAATGATGAATCTGCAAATGTTGTAAGTAAAGCATGTTAAGCTTTGGTGAATGATTTTTATTTGACCTTCAGTGTTTTCATCAATGTATCATTGATTACACGACCAAAGCGATTTAATTTTCCATCCTGTTATTGTTATTGCTGTTAGTTTTTTTCACTGTCAAGGCACGAAAAGGACAAATCACAGCTCATTTATATGACAGTGCTTATACTATTTTGTTCACAAATAGTATATAATTTTTGATCATCATGCAGGTGGATTCTGTAGTTTACCTTGTTGACGCGTACGACAAAGAGAGATTTGCAGAGGCCAAAAAGGAGCTGGATGCCCTACATAAAAAAGAACAACAATACTCAACCTTGTTAACACCAGATGTTCTTTTTTTTTTTTTGAAATTGATGCTGATTATGTTAAATTTTTGTTGGAATGAATTGTTTTTTGTTTTTTGGGGTTTAGAATAGGGTTTTGTGAATTGTTCCTTGTTTTTTGAATCAATGTTGCTGCTGCTGAGTTATGCTGAGTTATGTGTTGAAACTTGGATATAGAAAATTTTATAATAAGACCTATTTTGATTATGAATTCGTCTTATTTTGATTATAAATTCGCTAAATATTACAGGTGTATTGTTTTCCTGCTTTGGCGACCAATTTATTAGTCGCGACATCCAAAATAATTTTTTTTCGCAAAAAATGACAATTGCCGACCAAGAGTTTTGGTCGCAAAAAATACATCTATTGCCGACCAAAACAATTTTGGTCGTGGAAACTCACTTTTGCCGACCAAAAGTTTTGGTAGCGAAAAGTAACAAATGGCAACCAAATTTTTTGGTCGCGAAATGTGATAATTGGCGACCAAACTTTTTGGTCGCAAAATGTGACAATTGGCGACTAAGAAATTTGGTCGGGAAAATATCATTTTTCGCGAACAAAGTGTTTTAGCGACAAAATGAATTAGTCGCGATCATTAAATATTTAGCGACAAAAAATTTAGTCGGCAAATCTAACTTTTGCCGACCAACCAAAATTTTGGTCGCGAATTACTTTTGCCGACCCTCAATTGGCGACCAAAGTAGCGACCAAAAAAATTGGTCGCGGATAACTTTTGCCGACCAAAAATTGACTTTTAGCGACCAATTTTTTTGTTGCCAAAAGTGTTAATTCTTGTAGTACTCACAGACCGATGTGAGATTTCCCGTACAGGCAACGTTATCAAAATAATGAAAAAAAAAATTATATAGATTGATCATCGTCATAATGCAAAAAAAAAAAATTACATAGATTGATCATCGTCATAATGCAATTAAAAAATATTATACAAAAAGAGTGAGGTCAGATTTTATACAAAATCATTTGCATCTAACATGCAATTAAAAAAAGAGTGATGTCAGATTTTCATTAGTGTATTATATGTGGTAAACAAACAACAGATATGAGAAAGTATTTTTAGAAAAAATGCTTCATCCATGATGAACCTTTAAAAAATATACATTTATTTTTTAAGAAATACTTTTAGAAGTTTTTTTTTTTTTTTAGTAGAGAATAAAATGATGTGAAACAATAGGTAGGGGTGATTGAACTAATCAGTGTTTCTATTTTCGAAAACAAAAAGAAAACATTGAAAATAAAAATGATAGGAGTTAATTCATAATCACAATTATTTTCTCTCTTTATTAATTTGATGGGTGAAATGGAGTATCTTCATATGACCTTTTTAAGTTAATTATAAATTGATGGTGTGTATCAAAACTTAGTGAGGCCTTATGTAGTTTCACATTTGGATAACAAAGAAAAAAAATCTAATTTTCCATTTATACATTTTGAGCCAAATTGAACGAAATAACCTAATTAAAATTAGAGTAAAATTGTATGGACTAAATTATTAAAATTAAAAATGAAATTTGAGTTAAACTATAAGAATAAAAGTTTAATTTATTCTTTAAAAATTTGATGCTTCTTAATTTTGCGTGAAGTCATGATGATTTATAATGCTTAATTTGGACTAAAATCTAATTACAATAAAGTAAGGTCATTCTTGTAATAGTAACTAAGCCTTTAAATGGGTAGGTATTTTGAAAATGAGTAACAATGATGACGAATGGAATGATGATCACCATGATGAAGATACTGAAGATGAATGCAGCACATTGCAAACCCAACAACGTAGTAATATGCTCTTAGCTACGGTGGCAATAGCTGCAGTGACATGCGACAAATTATTTGATAAAAGAACTATGTAGGGCATCTAGTTTAGCAGGGAGGAAGTAGATGGTAGAATTACAAGAAGGGAATTGGACAAGAATATTTGAAAATTTTCGAATGGAAAGAGAGGTATTTTATCAATTGTGTGATTTGTTACAGACAAAGCATGGCCTTGATACTGGACAAAAATTCTCGATTCAGGAGCAGGTTGAAATATTTTTGTATATTGTTGGCGCTGACATTCGAAACAGAAATGCCCACGAAAGATTTCAACATTCCGACAAGACTATTTCAAAATACTTCAAGAAGGTGTTAAAAGCTGTTATGATGATGTCTATTGATTAGGTAAGGCCTCAATCGAGAAATGGTGTGCATCTATATATTCGAAGCAAGCGCAAATATTATTCTCATTTCAAGGTAAAAAAATAATTACAAGTGGAACTTGGGTGTTGCATATAATAATGTTGGTCGGATATTTCTAATAATCTGTGACTAAAAATAATTTTATGAACTATTTTATAATAGGATTGTATTGGAGCAATTGACGGAACACATATCAAAGCATATATATCTCCAGATAAGCAACCTCATTTAATAAGTAGAAAAGGATATGTGGTGGGTCGTTGAACACACCAAATATAATCACTAAACTATACCAAATTCAATCAGAATAATGGCAAGTCCAGGTATCGATCCACAGGGACTTTTGTGAAATTAAACTAATTTAATTGTCAAATTTCTAAATTAATTTTGATAGAAAGATTGGTTGTTTATAACCTAATTTAATAACGAATAAATTAAACTAAGGAATTAAATTATCAATAATAAATGAAATTGGGTTTACTAAATTGGGGGAAAAATCCTAGGGTAGAGAATTCACCACTAACCACATAATTAGGGTCTCCAATTGAAATTAATTATGCTATGGTTTGAACGGATTAATGTTTCGCAACTACAAGCTCAAAGCATTTAACAAGAAGATCATTACATTCAATGTACGAGCACGAACCATCTCAAGTAATACGAATCGTTCACGGGTAGTGATACGACTCGTTCCTCGTAGCATGGTTCGTCCCATACCTTAAATGTGAAGGAATAGAAAACTCATGTATGGATAATATTCAATAATCACAAAAAGTCAAATATTCGAAGAGATAATGAAAAATATAATAAAGAAACTTCTAAATCACCATACAAATGTTCAAACCTTTATATAATTTAAAATCAAAAAGAAAACAAAATAATTACATGGCTAGGGTTTCATCAAAACCCTAGAAAAAGAGACTAGCCACTCATAGAGGAGTGGAAGGAGATAGATGGAGAAGGAACCACCATTGGAGACATCCTTGAAGCTTTTGTTTTCCTCCTCTTTTCCAAACCCTAGCCTCTCCCTTTAGGTCAAAACAACTTCCGAACCCTAATCCAGCCTTTTACTTGCCTTTTTATACTTCCAATCTCGTCCAAACAGGTTTAAAACGTCGATTTGACTTTCCCAGGAAAAGTCAACGCACGTGCGGAAAAGTCAACACACGTGCGAGAAAGTCAACTCTGTCCAAATTCTATCTTTTTGCCCATTTTATGCTCCGACGATGTACAACTTGATTGACACTCAACACACATAAAGTACACAGTTTGACCAACAAGTGAAGTTGAGAGATTCTAACTAACGACCTCAATGATGTACATTTCAGCCTTAATTAATATGCAACTCAAAACATAATGGCAGCATGTGACTTTGATATGTGTTTCACATTTTGCTTACCAGAACGGGAAGGAAGTGCACACGATACTCAGAATTTCTTGGATACAATTAGGAATCCTAATTATAATTTTCCAAAACCACAAGGAAGTAACTGTTTTATATTTGATTGTTACAATAGATGCACCACACTCACATTTCTATATTTATTTTTACATTTATAATTACTTTCTTTAATTTTATTTTGTAAGTTTAAAATAGATGAGTTTTACTTGGTGGATGCTCGGTATCCAAACATGAAAGGATATCTTGCACCTTACAAAAGAGAGAGATACAATATAGCTCAATTTGAACATGGTCAACCCCCTCAAAATGCATAAGAAAAATTCAACCAAACACATTCATCACTTAGAAGTGTAATAGGAAGAACGTTTGGGGTTTGGAAAGCAAGATGACCGATGATAAAGAATATCCTACCAAACTACAACTGGGCGACCCAAGTGAAACTTGTTTGTGCAACAATGACAATTCATAATTTCATCCGACGAAGTGAGTTCCGCGATATTGCATTTGACTCTTATGATATATTCACGAATTATGTACCTAACGAAGATGAAGGATCTTTGTCTCAACAAGTACGCTATGGAAATGATGTTGATTGTGATGACAACGAGATGGAAGTAAGGAGACATAATATTTGTATGTCAATTTGCAGACGAAATTAAGAGATCTTTAAAAATGTAGGAAGTTTTATTTTTATTGCTTTAATAGTAATTTATTGTAATTTTATTGCAATGACATTTTTTTGTTCCCTTTTCAACCCAATATTATTAAAAAAAAATTAAAAATAAAAAATAAATTTGAAGTAATGAAATGTACCAAATTAGGTACTAATTAATCAACTTCCATTAATGAAATAACTTTTCAAAATTTAAAGAGAAGAAAATGACAAAATTGCAAATTTTCTGTTCATAAGGGCAAAAATGACAATTACATAGCAAAAAACTATTTTACAGCTTATTTACCAAACACTACTCTGCTGCTTAAATCTATAATCCCACAGGTACACCAAACACGTTACCAGCTTATGCTCACAGCTATAAGCTATAATTTGTAAAGCTATAATCTATAATCATTTTCACACAGCTCAACCAAATAGGGTCATACTTCCATCCCATTTAATATTATAGTGTTGTGCATGTTTTAATTCAATATAGTTTAAATTTAAAAAAATTTAATTAATTAATTATGATCTAGCTGATTAAGCTAAATCATTTTTGATTTGATTGATTCGTTGGTTTAACTGCGATTTTAGCAATTTTATACTTTTATTTGATAATCCTACATCGGGAAAATAAGGAAAAAAATAAGTTGCTTTACTCATAGAAGTAAATCTTATACTCCAATCCTATTTAATGATGAGCCTTGTGAGAGTTTCAATATCTCATATTAATTTTCTTGATTTTCTTAATTTTAAACAATTAAGAAAATCTCCATTGGCTAACTTTTATTTAATAATCTCACAACAGGAAAATAAGGAAAAAATGGATTGTTTTACTCATATAAAGTGAATTT